CTGCTGAACTGCAGTTCAGACTACATGTCCTCAGTTAAATATCTTGTTATGCTCAATGCTAGCTGATGAAATCCAGAGTCTTCAAGTTGAATATATACCATAACATTCTGCTGTCCCTTCACATGCAATATTACGATGACTATTCATTATCTATTTGTACTGAGATAGAATAATGAGGGGCTACACCTTTTTTGGTAATAATCATACCCTGTTTTCCTCAGGATGTTTTCCCTAAGACACACTGTTTGTTAAAATTTATATTTTCCCAATGTTACATTATTTTCTCTGAAATACTAACAAGTTAAGGATCAATGCTCTGTTCAGAGGCCTCCTGAGAACAAGAGTATTAGACTGACCACTGAGGTGCTGAAGTGGCTTTTAAAAAAAACCCCAAAACAAGCCATATGTAGAGTTTGTTGGCCCTGTCAGTTGTTCCTTAAAGGCCCACAAGAGTGAAAAGACAAGCTGCACCGATGGCTCTGAATCACGTCCCCTCTTCCATTTAAAGGAAGCTGCAAATATGAAACTATGATATGTCAGTATATAGTAATTGAAGGGTCAGCTTTAAAAGTAACTGTCTTTTTTAATCCAGAGTTAAACTGAAAAAAATACACAACCATGAAGAACAGTTGGTGACAAATGGTTTTCTTGCTAAATGAATAAGAATAAATAATGCAACTGAATGCTGTAGAAGTAACATATTAAAGTTAGAGGAAAAATATTCTTTTTTTCTGCATTAGGCCAAAGCAGGCTATAACGACTACTGTAGTAAGACATAACGAAAAAGAAGAGGGGGGACAGGGAGGAAGGAGAGGGGACCTAGGAGGGAATCACAAAGTAATAACATATCTTAATTGTATAGTGTGGATCCTTTTTGACTCTTTGGAGGTAAGGCATTACACACTGTGCTTTTAATCACATTTACCAAGAGAGTCTCTGCAAGGCTCTCATTTCTTTCATTTAAGAAGCAAAGAGTAGAAAAACAAAGAATTTTTTTAAAAAGTCGACTCTGTTAGTGATTTTTCATCTAGCACCTGGCATTGTCATGGCTTAAACTGATCACAGTAATGGAAATTCACAGAGGATGCTGTGTATATTTTAAACACACTATTATCTCAATAGCCCAGTTTAAGGGACAGGACAGGGGAGCAGGAGTAATGGGGAAAAAAAATCTAACAGAAAAAAAGAAGGCAGGAAAATAAAGGCTAAAGAAGACATTCTAACACTTCTTCTGTCATCAACAGAATAAAGCTTCTATTGTCTACCTATACACCAGTGATATGTGCTAGTATTCCAGACCTTCACAACAACAAAAGAAATACTGTACTAGAGATGAGTTTCACAATTCTAATAAACCACCCCTTAGGCATTCCTTTCTCAGCTTAGTTTTCAAGCAGACTTGACAAGACACAGCCTACTTCACTTCAGTTCCTGATAGCAGCCCAACATAGAACATTAATTTGGCAGCATAACCTCTTCTATGTCATTTCGTCAGGAGCCTAATGAAACAACATGAGATATCAGGCTGGCTACAGAAATACTACAGGTTATATGAGCAAAGATATTCTGTCTGCAACCATACTCCGGTAGCTGCCTGCTCTCTCTCAACCAGGGAAAGAAGAACAATTTACGTTATTTCTTTCCACAGGAGCAGCCCATGCAGTTTTAACACTTCCAGAATGTTGTATTCCCCAGATCTTGATCTCACGTATCAGTGTTATAGAAGCTCGCCTCCCGTGACGAATCCAAATTGAGGAGCCAATTTTTAATTAATAAATTTTGAATTTATTAGCAATAGAATTTATTTAAGCAAGCGATGAAGCAGGCAAAACAGCGCTGGGCGGCCGGGGAGCCTCCTGCTCCGCCAACGGTCCACACCAATAACGGATGCAACCCCTCTTTTTATAGAGTTCCTATTTCCTGCATAGGTGACTTTTGGTATTCTCTGCGTTGTGTTCGCGCTTGCACAACTAATTGCCAGGTGGTCGTTGCCTGCCTCTCGGTGGTCGTTGGGATGAAGGCCGAAGTCTTTCTCAGGTGCCCTGCTGTCTGCTCATTCATCCCCCAAGCCATTGCTTTGTTTATCAGCAGACAGGCCATCTCCTTTCAGCAAATGGTTGCTTACTTTGCTTACTCCTCCGGATGTCTGCGGCTCCAGCTTAAGTTACAAAGAAACTCCAACATTCACATGCGATTTCATGAACAAAGTTAATCCATTCATCACAGGGCTTCTCCTCTTTCTCCATCAGCTGGTTTGAGAACAAATTTTATATGTATACATTTATTACATCAGCATCATCTATTTGTTGTAAAACCAGTGCTCCATCTCATCAGAGGAGTCCAGTTCCACCAACTCACCCCTTTCCCTGCTCATGAGCTCCCTTGTCACCCTTTCTGCACATTGAACTATGCAGTCAACCAGGATCTTCAATATTTTCATAATCAGAGTTTTAAGGAACTTCACTCTGAAAAGACAATGGATCAGTTTGTTGACCTATTTGATTTTCTTACATTTCATTCTTTTAAAGAACAGCATTAGGATTGGAGTTACAAAAGATACTTTAATGTGTGCTAATCTAAAAAACATTAGTCATTTGACTTCACATTGTAATAAATGTATACATATAAAATTTGTTCTCAAACCGGCTGATGGAGAAAGAGAAGAAACCCTGTGATGAATGGGTTAACTTTGTTCATGAAATCGCATGTGGGTGTTAGAGTTTCTTTTGCAACTTAAGCTGGAGTCACAGACATCCGGAGGAGTGAACAGTAAGTAAGGGAATGGCCCATCTGCTGATAAGCAAAAGAATGGCTTGGGGGATGAATGAGCAGACAGCAGGACACCTGAGAAAGACTTCGGCCTTCATCCCAACGACCACCAAGAGGCAGACAACGACCACCTGGCAATTAGTCGCGCAAGCGCAAACACAACGCAGAGAATACCAAAAGTCACGTATGCAGGAAATGGGAACTCTATAAAAAGAGGGGTTGCATCTGTTATTGGTGTGAACCGTTGGCGGAGCACTGACTCCCCAGCCGTCCAGCGCTGTTTTGCTCTTTTATCGCTTGCTAATAAATTCACTTTGATTAATGAGAAATTGGCTTCTCAATTTGATTTGAGCATGAGCGTCTATAACAACATCAAAGTAAGTTTGGGGTTTTTTTTTATCTCTTTTTAATCTCTTGTATTCCACACAACGCTAAATTTTAACTTCTGACTTTTCAGTGCAGCAACTTGATTCCAGAACAAGAAATTATTTTCTCAGCAGAAATGTAAATATTTTTCATTAAATTGTTTAGTGAAATCATGAGGAAGGAAAAAAAGGAGACTTAAAAATAAGCACATTAGTACATCAAAGCACTCTGAATTGCCACCAATCATTTTGCAAATATGTTTTTGCACATAAAATTGGAACAGTTTGAAACTATCAATTTGTGAATTCTCTATTAAACCATATACAATTTAAAGAACAAAAAGTGAAAACTATGTCCCCTCATATGTGGCTGAGTTTCGTAGCACACCTAATTGGATGAATCAACAACTGCAGGGAAGCAGGCTGAATCTCTTCGGTCTACTTACTCTAGGCTAAACTGGTACATTACTGTTAAACCACAAAACATGTCTCAGAACTGACAGTCCTTGGACAAGCTGCAACCCAAACTGACTAGATAGTGCTTTTCCAAACCATTTCCAGATCTCATTTCCATACAGCGTCTCTGAACATCTAGTACACATGATACGCATCTGTAGTCTGAAGGGGACTCACCTGTTGTGGTTCTTTTGTGCACAACCTGTTTAACGATCAGAGAATCACAGAATCATAGAATCATCAAGGTTGGAAAAGACCTCTAAGATCATCAAGTCCAACCAGCAACCCACCACCACCATGCCTGATGTCACCTTATCTGTTCTAACTCTATTGCCTCTTTCTTTTCATAAGCTAGATGTTAGTAGTTTAGAATCATAGAATCATAGAATGGTAAGGGTTGGAAGGGACCTTAAAGATCATCTAGTTCCAGCTGCCCTGCTATGAGCAGGGACATCTTCCACTAGACCAGGTTGCTCAGTTCCATCCAACCTGGCCTTGAACACTGCCAGAGAGGGGGCAGCCACAACTTTGTCTGGGCAACCTGTTCCAGTGTTTCACCACCCTCATGGTGAAGGATTTCTTCCTAATATCTAATCTAAATCTGCCCTCTTTTGGTTTACAGCCATTCCTCCTTGTCTTATCACTACACGCTCTTGTGAAAAGTCCCTCTCCATCCTTCCTGCAGGCCCCCTTCAGGTACTGGAAGGCTGCTATAAGGTCACCCCAGAGCCTTCTCTTCTCCAGGCTGAACAGCCCCAACTCTCTCAGGCTTTCCTTGTAGGAGAAGTACTCCAGCCCTCAGATCACCTTCATGGCCCTCCTCTGGACCCGCTTCAACACATCCATGTCCTTCTTACGTTGGGGGCTCCAGAGCTGGATGCGGTACTCTAGGTGGGGTCTCAATTTAAATTGAAGAAAAAGAGAAGTACTTTTGACAATGTTCTGATGGTAGAAGTCACTGCATGAGCACACTTTGGAAGTCGAAAGTGGTAATGGGATTAAAAGGGTTTAGACAAATGGATGGAAAACAGGTCCATTCATGTCTATTAAACTTTCTGGTCTGCGTGCAATCTCTGGCTCAGGAAGTCTCTCAATGTCTGACTGCCAAAAGCTGGGAATATATAACCAGAGAAAGGATTACACTGCACATGCCTGATGTCTTCTGCTTTTTTCCCCAAGCAGCTGCTACTGGCTTCTAGCAGAGGTGGGTTGCTGAGCTAGCTGAACTTCTGGTCTCATCCACTACGGAAGGCCTTGTATATCTCAGTCTTATAGCCAGAAACAGTGACATATGTATTAATTCTATTCATTTAATCCACTCTTGAACTTAAATGAGAGCATTAAAATGCTTGTGTTTCCATGTCTTAAAAATTCTAGTTCTAACAGAACTTAAGCCTAGTGTTTCAGCTTTGACTTTCCAGGAATACTAGGCCAATGCTCAAAGTCATTATCCATATGGAAGTACAAATTACCAAAATTTAAATCCTGAATTATGAAATAAAATTGGAAGAAAACAAGCAAACTAATGAAAAGACAGTGTTGTCTGGTTCTTCACAAGAAAATGTTCATGGTGTAAATGGCCCTTCAGCACCCAGCCTGAGGCCTGGGCCCAGCTGTGAAAGCAGCTGCTTGCAGATAGCACAGAATTGCCTCAGTTGAAATCAAGTTCTGCAAACTTTGTTGCTTTTTTTTTTTTTCTTCCTACAAGGACATACTATTTTAAAATATCTCCTATACACACTTCATATCATCTACTTTTAAGACATTATTCTGCAATGGGCTGTTAAAATAAGAAAAGGAAAGAGAAACAGAATGTTCCTATTAAAATACTGCCAGTCCATCTGGTCAGACTTAATGTGTGCTCCGCCATAAGGTGATCTACAGATTTGAGGTGTTTGATCTCAACTGGAAGGCATGGCTCTGTAGTTTTCGCTATAGCCATTTACTTCTTGCTATATTGATTTAAACTGAGCTATGAGCTTCTGACACAAGTCTAACTTGAATAAACCGATGTCTTATAAATTTCCATTTCTGATTTAACGCTGGTTTACTTAAAACTTACAGTCAGTTAGTAATGTTCAGATGAAATATTCCCCTGTCAGAATATATATATGTTCATCAAGATTAAAATTGTTTTCTAACTTGTGATGGTTGGGTAGTATGAATTTCTTATAGACTACATGGGTGTCAACATTATCTGTGCTCTCTCAGCATTAATTGCTAACTGGCAGGTGGGCTGAGATACATTCAGGACACGTACATTTGCCAGTCTTCAAGGTTGAAGCTTTGCAGCTTGCAAGAGGACTCCTTAGCACTTAAGCATCAGGGCCAGGGTGAATGAAGTTTCCGTAAGTGCTAATGCTCACTTTACAGGCCATATGATAAGCGCAGCAAAGCCAGGGATCTTTTCAGCATCATTGTTTTCCAGTTTTCCCTCTGTCTTTCAATTTTTTTTTCCAAAGGTATTTGTGACTCTTCAGTTTTACCTCCAGGCATCTTTACTGTACTTGTCTTGACTATTAACCAACAGAATGAACTTCAATGCTTTGTGATGAGCAATTGTCTTACACTTTCTACCTAATGTTTAACAGTCTGCAAGGGTTTTCTTTCAAAGCACTGCTGAAGCTTGCTGACTCTGTCCAAAGCACTGTGCATCTCTGCTCTAGCAGGGAAGAAGAGCTGTTTTTACATGTTTGGTTCTCGGATATCGGAATTCTTGCAGGTAGTTGGTAAAGACCAACATTTCTGAAGGATACCATTTAATGAGGGAATGATGTGTTCCTTACACTGGGATTCAAAGAATTTGCCTATGCATTTGTGAACACTGGGTTCTCGAAACAAAAGGTGCACATTCAGCATCAAATTAAAGCCCCTGCAGTTAGGTACCCTAATGACTAAAATGAATTTAAAATAAGAAAAATACACATATGAAGTCTGACAAGTGCTGAGACGTATCAAAATAACAGCCTCCCATGAATATACTAGCAAAGTAATTTTTTTTTTAAGAACATTTGTGCTGATGAACATCCTTCTATGCATTGGATAACTACATTTGTTGGCTTCTTTAAATACACATTTATAGCACCTCTTTTCGATGTTCTTTGGCCATTACTTTTTTTTCTTACAGGTAAGTACAAGGGGCTGACAACTTTCAAATGCACTGAAGTTTAGAATTAAGTTGCTAAAAATGAATATATGACATGATTGAACAAAAAATAGCAGGAAAAGCTGTTGGTCTTTGTCACACAACACCAGCAATCAGTTCCCAAGCTGCTGAAATAAAAGAAAATTTCAGCCAGTTGTCAGGCTATTAAACTGATTCTGACAGCCACATAAGTAGGAGAAGGCCAGGTGTTTGCCTACTCCCAAGTGTCTGTAAAGTTTATCTGCCGTTTGAGTCAGGCTGAGTCAGAAAGTATTTCCCTGGCCTTTGTAGACTAACAGCAGGAAGAGACAGAGACTTCTTGGTGTGGTGTAAACACCGAGTGTTGTTAAACATAACATGAAAAATAGACATTTCTGCACTTCCTAGATATGAAGATATCCTTAGAAGATGATACTGCAGGAGATCACAATACAAGGGTGTGACTGGAAATAAGAAAAAGGACTTTGTGAAATCTTAAGGAATATTTATCCTTTTACTCAACCCCATTGCTAAATATCATTCTTGGTCAAGTTTAAAAGCATCATCTGTCATATTCTGTGTTCATACTTCAGTGACCTTTGAGCTGGAAGTGTTCAAGTCAACAGCACGGAAGGCTGGGCCATAGAGAATTAGGTCTCTACTAGGCATGCACTTTAATATACAGAGAGATCTTAAGAAAAAGGATCACAGAAAGATCATAGCAAGAAACTTGCTGAATCCATTATGTTTAATTTGCCTCAGAAGGATTAGCAAACAGAAGTCTTGGTGTCCTGATATCTGCAGAATTGCACCTTTTTTTTTAAGAAACATGAGACTTGAAAAAGCACATAATTGCCTTTGTTAGCATCTGTCCAATCTCAAGCAAAGCACATTCAGCATTTATATTCCCATTTGATTATACTATAATTTAAAAAATCCTCCTTCTCCCAGTGTTTCCTATGTTGTCCATAGCCCCCAGTCTGGCTGTATTGCATTACAATCTATTATGACTGTATTAACCATCAGTTCTAACACAAGCATTTTTTTCTTCTTTTGTGTCAGAGAATTTTTGAAAAACATTGTAAATTAGTGGTGCTGCAATAGTAAGAGGGAGAATGTGGCAGCTATCAGGAGCTTCGGAAGCTATCTCTGTCTGTTTTTTAAAGATGTTCCTACCTTGTACAGTTCTGAACATGCAGTACAACACACTAAAACAGTTTTTTGAATCTGTAGAATGCATCAATATGACGAAGGAAGGGATGTGCTGTTTGTTGTAATTTCAGTGCTTGCTGAGTCTGGAAGTTAATGTCAAAACTGCAGATGCTAAGTAGTTTTCTAAGCAGAAAGAAGAGGTATAATAATCAGTTAATATCACAAGATCAGGACATACTGGCTTTGATTGTATGATGATTCCCTAGATTTTACAGATCTT